GCCTTACATGAGCACTGATGGTGATCTTATATACTTATACGTATATGTTTCTGTATTGCAGAACACGTGAGAAATTACTGATGCGCATGGATGACAGCTTTCCCACGACGAAGCAAAATTGCAGGTGATTTTCTCTACTTTCTAATATTATCCATATATCACAGGGGAATGATGGGTAGTTTTAAAAGGGATTAGTGGTTCATCGCACTTTTTCTAGCTTCTTTTGGCCTCCAAATGATATACAAGGCAGTCAAGTTCCATCCTCTAATTTCTTGTGATTTTTATAGGACCTATTAGGATGCATACCTGAAGGAGTGCATCTACTGGCCCAGCTGAAAATCGATCTCTATTTGGTTTATGTATTCTATTTTTGCTCTCGGTTTTGTCTACCGCTCGTCCTTGGTATGCTCATCCATCTTGCCTGCTTTGCTTGCCTCCTTCTCCTCTCCAATTCAGGTAGATGGATTGTTCTTTTATTTTTCTGTGGAACGACTCTTATTTTACTTGTCTGTGCTCTGTATCATAGCATGCTGGTGCACTGACCACTTCATCTCCATTTATTGAGCAGGTTCTGCGATCCCTTGTGTTGCTGCGTCCCGATCTCCAGCTTTGTTGCATCTCTGTTCTGCTCCTCGAGGTTTGCTTGTTTTCTGTCTAGCTAAAATGCATATTTCCTTCCTGCACGTGTTGTCATGGTGTTTAAATTGGATTTGGTGGTGGAAGGGGGGGGGGGGTCTGGAACTAAAACGAAATTTAGTTTGATGTTATCATATATCCCGGGTCGTGTGTATGTATCTCGTTGGATAAAGGAAGATTGAGTGAATGTAGGTGTAGCTTCATGAGCGCCGGTCAAGGTTCTTAGCGAGTTCTTTGTAGGCATAATTTTCTTCTATTCAACAATGCATTTTAAATAGTGAAACTGGTCCTAATTATTCCATGCTGGAGTTAAAATTGTGCATCTTGTTATGTATTTTGGGAAGAGCAGCAGTTCATAATTTTCTCTATAATATTCATGTCATTCAGTCAAGATAGTGTGCTGTTTATTTTTCTTTCTTCAGGTAGGAAACACATGTTGATTTCTTGACCACCTCAAGTGATCCAGTGATCCAATGTTAGATGAAGTGTTTTAATATTTTTTGCTCATGCTTATTCCCGGAAACACAGCTCAATGGAATAAGCTCTGTAACTTTTATTTAGCATATCACACATACAAGTATACTGATATTATATTAGGACTTAATGACGGATAACATAACACTTATTTTTAACTGCATACATAGCATGGTCTTGTCATATCTTCTTATGGTGTATCTATTATTCATGTACATACTCTGTGTGGTATTCACATGGTTGTGTCGCCATTGACATCCTTGTTGTAGGTGCTCAACAGGAGAAGCACTCAATAGGAGAAGCAGGAGCAGCGGAGCGTTCGCCTCGTTGCAGGTCGACTTCTGGTCCCTTCTCTTCTTACTGATTTATTCCTCCCCTTCTCTTCCAGTCCCCTACTCACAGAGCTTCTCATTTTATTTTTGTAGATTTGGTTTATCTATGTCTGCAGGTTGTTTGATAAAAATCCAAAAAGGCTGACATGGTAGAATTAATCTATGTAAATCGTGTGATTTTATTTTTCTATAATTTAGTTCCAGTCAAAGATAACAAGTTAGTAGTCCCATTATTTTTTTGCAATTTAGGTACTGAAGGAGATCAGAATGCTTTTATTTCTATTTACATCATGGGCTTTATTATAGAACAACCACAGTGGAGAAAATTATCTCATATTTATTAATATCTTTTATTGTTTGTGTTTAGTGAATAAAAACTGCAGTAGATTCCCACCTCTTATTATGGATGCACAAGTGCTTCACAATGTTTCGTTGCTGACATCTTTGCCCTGTCTGTCTAGGTTAAATGTCAGTGCTTCACAATGCACTTTATACTTTGCACGATCTAACAATGCATGCCAGACTTCTGATAATTATACAATAGTATGCAGCGATGCTACTAAGACATGCTGAATGCGGAGTTTTATTTTATCTATGTTAGTACCCATGCGAATATTGAATTGTTTTACTTTGATGGTTTAGCACATGTCATAATATAGTCGGTAGTTAGGAGAATGCATTAATCTTTTTGTTTCTTAGGCAAATAGTTCTCATGTTACAGGGTGCGTGGACAAACAGATGCCAGGGGCATTGTTTCACACAACACCTACACCAATGACCACTGGACAAGTGAAGTAAAGGGACTTGTGAACAACATGAAAAACTTTCAGCCATCTTTTGATTACATGGAAATATGCCTTTGATGCATCCGTGTTATTATTTACTGACCGACTGTGTTTAGCAACTTCAGTGTGTCGATCAAAATTACTACTCCCTCCATTCGAAAAAGCTTGTCCCACGAATGATTGTATGTAGCATCAAGTGGTAGATACATCCATTTGAGGAACAAGCTTTTCCGGATCGAGGGAGTATATGATGTAATTGACCAATATCACTAAGAAGTGCTCCTGGACACAAAATGCTCTATATTATCATGTCTTGAATTTTCTAATTGCAAACTCAAACATTTGCATTTTGTTCTTCATTTCAGTTGGGCTTTTGTGTCAATTTTATCAATTTCATACATTACAAATGAGAAAAATATATATTTTTATACAGATCCACGACACTTCGCAAAAGAGTGTACAACAACATCGTCTGCTACCAAAAAAAAGCAAAGTAATCTCTTTTTAGTTCTTGCTTCAAATTTTCTCGCGCGCCAAATGGCGCGACAGGTCATCTAGTACATGGAAAGAGCAAAAGCCACACGAGGTCACGGGGAAAAAGAGGACAGAACCTCACGCAGGCACGCACAGAAGAGAAAAAGACGCTCCTGATGGATTTGATTAGCATATATTTAAATTTTGGTCACAAACCACATAGGGGGTAAACAATAATGCTAAACATACAAATGTTTACATGCTTTTACACGCTGTCTAGGATCTTTTTAAACTAACTAACCTCTCCCCCCCTGATTTTCATGGAGGTGAGCCCCTTCTCCCCCTTAATCTCCAATCAAAACCCACCTTTATGTAAAAACATGTATCCTTTTGTACGTGTAAAAAGGTCATTTCAATTGTCATTTAACACCGTTAAGGCTTAAAATGTATGGAAGTGTTATAAAGGGCATAAAATTAAACTCGATGTTAGATAAGGAAGGAAAATATTTTCAGTGTTAAATAGGGAAAAAATTTAAGACAGTGTTAAATAAGGAATTTTCTCCACTTTTTACTTTTCTATAAAATACATATATACGATAGACCAATAATATCACCTCTGTTTATTAGTAGGTATAGATGAATTAAATATTTTTGAAAAAGCATGAACACTTTTACAAATTATACATATGTTTTTCAATTCTTTGAATACTTTTTTAATTATATCATCATTTTCTAGATCACATGAACAATTTTAAAAATACATGTGTATTTAAAAAAATGTCAATACTACTACCTCTCACTATTATGAGGCTTTTTGGATATTTCAATATGGACTACATATAGATTGAAATGAGTGAACAAAAATACTAAAACGCGTATATATACATCTGATCCAGAAAAAATTAGAACATCTTATAATCCTATAACAGTGAACGAAGAAATATATTAGACATACACTCCCTTTTATTAGTAGGTATAGATACATATTTTTTTGCTAATAACAATTGAGTCCATCAATCTGCCACAAAAGGCAACAACTTTGATGGCGTAGCCCATTTGATCTTCAAGGAGCACACCGATCGATCAATGGACTCCCAGGCATAGTTAGGCTCGAGTCTGCCTTATTATAGGACCATCAACAACGAATGCACATCCAACAATACACAACTCATTCAGTCTCACACTCATACACACCGAAAGCAAAGCTTCTCAACTCTGGACAACCACCAAAGTAACCCAAATTATATTACACCTTCACGCCGGACAAAACCCTAGCTAGGGTTTGCTTCCCACCCTGCTGCGTGTCAGACAGCGATTTTGGCGGCTGCTATTGGTCGATGGCCATCACCGTCGTGGCTGAGATGGACCACGCCGAGGAGGGGATTTGGCTGACGAAGACACGAGGAGGAGCATGTAGAGGAGGGCTGGGGAGAGGAGGACAGCGGTGGCGGCGGCAGCGCGTTAGATCGTATGCGTGTGCGTGTGTGTGTGTGCGCGCGCGCGCGCGTGCGCGTGCGTGCGTGCGTGCTCTCTTTTTGTCCTAAACAATCGTCTAGATCGTGTGTTGGTACGAGGGGAGGGGGAGCACGAGAAGCGGCCTGGTTTTTGATGCGCGTGTGTAAGACCGGACGAAAAAAAAGGAACAAAAGGTGGGGGTTGTTTAAGGAAAATGAGGGGAGGGGTCGGATCAGTGGGAGGGGGATCGATCAATGGGTATGAAACGAAACGACGTACCAACTCCCCCTCTAGGAGTTGAGATATTGTGGTATTACCGTGAAAGTTATTGGGAAGGCGTAAGAGAGAGAAGAGAGAACATACATGGATTCGTAACTAAAAATTGAAGAGATTGTGTAAGAGAAAGAGGGAAGAGAGAAAATATGTGTTGTGTCGTTGCTGACTAGGATAAAATTTAGTAAAAAGAGTGACTGGCTTTTACAATTAAGAGAATAAACCAAACCACTTAATGTAAACCCTAGGGTTTATGCTTTAAACCAAAGGAATTCTTATAAAATTCCACTAACCCAAAGGAACGGAATTATATATTCCTACAAAACAAAGGACTCTAAAAGTATTTTCCCTAAGAAACCCTATTGTATGGAATTCCTATAAAATTCTGGGACCGTAGGACAAGTTCAGGGGCTAATTTGAAATTCTATCCAGAAATAAACATTTTCACCCCTTTCCTTTCCTTGGGCCGTGCCTGATCCACTTCACACACAGCACACCTACGCCCAGAAACACCCAAAGCCCAAGCCCCCATCCCCACCGCAGAGAGCTTCCGGCGTCGGCGGCGGCGGCCATGGAGGCGGCCTTGGCGGAGTTCGAGTGCCTAGGGTCGGCCGGTCCCATAACCGCGGTGGCGAACGAGTTCCTGCGCGAGCAGACCCCGCACAACGAGAACGAGTCGGAAGAGCAGCTCCGCCGCCTGTTCAACCCCGCCTCCTACGCCCTCCCCGTCGGCCCGCCCGTCTCCGCCGCCGCCAGACTCTTCGCCCTGCCACCCGACGACGACGTCGACCGTGTCAGCCGCCTCCCCGACGCGCTCCTCCGCGACGTCGTCTCCCGCCTCCCCGTCAAGGACGCCGCGCGCACGGCCGCGCTCTCCCACCGCTGGCGCGGGGTCTGGCGCTCCACGCCGCTCGTCCTCCACGACGCCGACCTCCTCCCCGACACCTCCGCCGTGTCCCTCGTCCTCGACGCGCACCCGGGGCCCTTCCGCTGCGTCCACCTCACCAGCACCCGCTCGCAGGGCTTCCGCGGCCTGCTCGCGCGGTGGCTCCGGCTCCTCGCCGCCAAGGGCGTCCAGGAGCTCGTCCTCATCAACTGCCGCTGGCCGCTCGACTACGTCCTCCCCGCCAGCCTCCTGGGCCTGACCACCCTCACCCGCCTGTATCTCGGCATGTGGAGGTTCCCCGACACGGTCGGCCTCCCGCGCGCCACCTGCTTCCGCAATCTCCGTGACCTCGGCCTCCACAACGTCCTGGTGGAGAGAAGGGATCTGGACTTCATCCTCGACAGGAGCCCCGTGCTGGAGACGCTCTGTGTCCAGGGCAATGTGCTCAAGCTTCGCATCCGGCTCGTCAGCCAGAGCCTCCGGTGCGTGAAGATCATCGGGTGCTTCATCGAAGAGATATTCGTGTTGGACGCCCCAAATCTTGAGCGGTTCATCTATTTTGATGCTTGGCACCCTGTTGGCAACTGCACCACCACGGTCAAGATCGGCCATGCCCCCAAGCTGCACTTGTTGGGATACTTGGCTTTGGACCCACGAAAGCATGTCCTAGATGTGGGCAACACCATCATCAAGGTGCCTCATATTTCCATTAATTGGTTCAATCCTACACTACACGAGCTATGTAAATTAGACATCTTTCTTCTCTTAATTGGGTGCATTGTGAATTTGTGATTGCAATTGCAGGCTGGGATAGGGATGAGCCCAAGCACCATGCTACCAGGTGTGAAAATCCTGGCTTTGGAGGTGCGTTTCGCAGTCCGCAATGATGTCAAGATGATCCCCAATGTCCTCAGATGCTTTCCGAATGTCGAGGCACTCCACATCATGGTGAGGCCCCTGACACTTCTTTTGGCATACATTTCCATCATGTTGCTAATTGTATCAATAGCTGATGAGCTGCATATGCCCTTCTTTATCGAATTTCAGTCTGGAAAAGATGATCAATCTACTGGCAAGCTCAACCTGAAGTTCTGGCACAAGTCCGGTGTCATAGAATGCATACGGTCGCGCATAAAGCTGCTGGTTGTCCGGGATTTCAAAGGGGGGCGAAGCGAGATGGCCTTCCTCAAATTCTTCTTTCAGACTGCGTTGGTGCTGGAGGAGGTGGTGATTCTGTTGCCCGATGATCCGACGGATCATATGTATCGCAAGGTGGTGTCCCTGAGGCACATCGAACGGGCCAGTGAAGCGTCCTTACTGTGGGCAAGCAAGTCTGTTCCTCGAGGCTTCCTTCGGAGCGTCGAGAGAGCATCTGATTTCTCCCTCGACGACCCTTTTGCCAACTACTGTCGCATTGGGTTGCATCGCCTCGGCTATCATCATGAGGAGTAAGTTTGCTCTGGAAGTTGCTAGTGTTCTGCTGATGCAGTATGCAAGACACTGTTAGAGATGTCTGAAGATTCTTGCCTGTGCTAGCCTGATTAGCTTAAGTGTCAAAGTCAGTACTACCATTGTTGATGCACATGGCTACCGTTCTGTTGGAGCCATGGAATTACGGACCACCATGTTTGCATTTCATGCGATTTCATCAGCTGACAGCGGTGTTATATTGCACGGTTTTGGCTAAAAATATGTTTGTTGTGCTACATTGCACGGTTTTGGTTAAAAATGTGTGTTATGACATTGTCTTATCCTTGATCAGATTTTTTTTCATTTTTGCGTGGTTGATCAGATTGTCTTCATGCTTTGTTTCTTCTTTTAAACATGGGTAGGCACGGTGCCGATTTCGTTCCAGCTCATGTACAAAGTACAACATGAATTACAAAGCCTCAAACGGCACATTACGAAGCAATTGCATAATTGGTAAGGGTTTGATCTATGAGCTGAGCTAACACATCTAAAAGCAGATCTAGGAAGAACCCTGATGAGCACAATTTTGAGCCACCGCATTGCTATCTCTTGTAGTTTCATTAGCTAGGCTGTGATCTGATGACAGCCATGGTTTTGGCTGAAAAATATGGTTTCTTGTGACAATGGTGTTAAAATTGCACGGTTTTGGCTAAAGAAGGTTTGTCTTGAAATTGTCTTATCCTTGATCAGATTTTCTTCACGCTTCGTTTCTTTCTTAACACGGAAAAGGCACCACGCCAACTTCATTACAGCTCATGTACAGAGTACATTATGAATTTACAAAGCCCTCAAGCAGTACATCATGAAGCAATTGCATAATTGGACACATCCAGAAGCAGGTTCTGAAGATCTAGTATGAACCTGATGAGCGCAATTGTGAGCCACCCCATTGATCTCTCTAGGAATATGATAGACAGAATGGCCAGGCTGCGATGATTTTTCTGCAAGAAATTGCTGAGGGATGACATTCTGAGATCCCTGCTGGCTGCAGCCCTGTCTAGTGTCAGGTTGTGAGTGAGATAGGAACGTGACCTGCCTGTTGGAGCTGAAGCTTGAGTGCTTGATCTGCAGCTAGTGGCAGAGCAATGTGCGTCCTGGTGGAGAGAAGGGATCTGGACTTCATCCTCGACAGGAGCCCCGTGCTGGAGACGCTGTGCGTCCAGGGCAATGTGCTCAAGCTTCGTGTCCGGCTCGTCAGCCAGAGCCTCCGGTGCGTGCAGATCGTCGGGTCCTTCATCGAAGAGATCTTCGTGTTGGACGCCCCACGCCTTAGAGCGGTTCATCCATTCGGAGGCCTGGAATCCTGCTGGCAACTGCACCACCACGGTGAAGATCGGCCATGCCCCCAAGCTGCACTTGTTGGGATACTTGGCGTTGGACCCACGAAAGCATGTCTTAGACGTCGGCAACACCATCATCAAGGTGCCTGGTTTCTCCATTGGTTCAATCCTAGACTACCAATGCAAATTTGTGTGATCTTTCTTTTCTTAATTGGGTGAGTTGTGAATCTGTGATTGATTGCAACTGCAGGCTGGGACAGGGATGAGCCCAAGCACCATGCTACCAGTTGTGAAAATCCTGGCTTTGAAGGTGCGTTTCGCAGTCCGCAATGATGTCAAGATGATCCCCAATGTCCTCAGATGCTTTCCAAATGTTGAGACGCTCCACATCATGGTGAGACCCCTGACGCTTCTTTTGGCATCCATTTGCACCATCTTGGACTAGCATCATGTTGCTAATTTCTATTTGGTATCAATAGCTCATAGCTGATGGACTGCACATGCTTTTCTCTACCAATTTTTCAGTCTGGAAAAACTGATCAATCCACTGGCAAGGCCAACCTGAAGTTCTCGCTCGAGTCTGGTACCATAGAATGCATAGAGTCGCGCATCAAGCTGCTGGTTTTCCATGGTTTCCAAGGGGATCGAAGCGAGCTCGGCTTCCTCAAGTTCTTCTTCGAGAGCGCCTTGGTGCTGGAGGAGGTGGTGGTTGGTTCTGTTGGCCGCTGATCCGACAGATGAGATGATACGCAAGGCGGTGTTTCTGAAGTACATGGAACGGGCCAGTGAAGCCTCCATACTGTCGGTCGGCCGTTCTGGTCCTCAAGGCTTCGCTCAGAGCGCCAGGAGAGGATCTGATTTCTCCCTCGGCGACCCTTTTGCCAACTATTGCCGCAGCGACTTGTATCGTATGTCATCACCCCGCCCCTTGTACCTGTGCTAGCCTGATTAGCTTCAGCGTCGAAGTTGGCAGTGTCATTGTTGCAGCCGTTGTTCTACTGGTTGGCAATTACGGACCACCGTGTATGTGTTTCATGCGATTCCGTTAGCTAGGCTGTGATCTTGATGACAGCCGTGTTGCATTGCACGGCTTTGGCTAAAAATATGTTTATTGCGATTGTGACAATGGTGTTGCATTTGCACGGTTTTGGCTAAGAAATGTTTGTTATGACATTATCTTATGTCCTTGATCAGATCCTCTTCTTCATGATGTAGTACGTTGCTTTGCTTTGCTTTGTGTCTTGTGCGTTGTGCTGTGTTTGTGTGCATATTTCCTTCATGCTGGTTGGCAATTACAGACCGCCGTGTCTGTGTTTCATGTGATCTCGCTATCTAGCTGTGATAGGATGACAGTGGTGTTACATTGAGTGATTTTGGCTAAAAAAAGTTTATTGTGACAATGGTGTTACATATATTGTACTTTTGGCTAAGAAATGTTTATTATGAAACCACCTTATCTTTGATCAAATTTTCTTCATGCTGTGGTAGTGTTGATTTGCTTTGTGACTTGTGGGTGTGCGTTGCGTGGTGCTGTGTGTTACCCGTTCACGAGTAACTCTGGCTATAGATGTGGCGTTTCTTCTCTGCAAAATAGAAGGATGGGGTATTGCTTGTGTGGCTCACAGTTGCAGAAACAGGATTGAAGAAGATGTGTATGCATGGTAATCGACGGTTTTGAATTTTTTGAATGTGTTTGCTGTTTGCAAGGTTTTATGTTTGGCAGCTAGCTGTGGTCTGATGACAGTGGTGTTGCACTGCGCGGTTTTGGTTCAAAAATGTTTATTATGACATTGGTGTTATACTGTAATGTTGGCTGAAAAAATGTTAATTGTGACATTACCTTATCCTTGATCAGATTTACTGCATGCTGTACTACGTTGCTCTGCTTTGTGACTTGTGCGTTGTGCTCTGTGTGCATATTTCTTCAGGTTGTGTAGTTATTCACAGATACTTGTGGCTACAGATGACGTATTTCTTCCCTGCAAATCGAAAGATGGGGTACTGCTTGGGTGGTTTGCTGTTTGCAAGGTTTTGCAATTTGAAGCAGATTTGATATGCGCACTTTGCCGGTAATTGACGGTTTTGAAATTTTTGAGTGTGTTTGCTGTTTGCAAGGTTTTGTGTTTTTTTTAATGGAGACAACAGTTTTGCCTTATCGATTAATTAAGAAGAAGAGATTTGTCCAGTTGATTACGGAAAAACGGGCGAAAACCAATACAAACGGAGCACGGACTAACTACTCACATGGCAAGAAACCCCACAACCGCACAAGCTATCCCGGCCACTCTCCGAATACACAACATCCAACAAACCATCCCGGCCACTCTCCGAATACACAACATCCACAAACCACCCCGACATTGCTACTAAGCCAAGAGACCCTGACAAGAACACCTCGACACAAGACATCAAGCACCTCTCAACCCACAACCACATCCCAATCCAAGAGGACGAGCCGAAAGATCGAAGGTCGTCCATCAAACAACCACAGACGCCTTGCCTGTGGCGCCACTTTTTCCTTTGCCCACCTTCTTTTGTTTGCCCTTTATTGGCGTCCCTTTCAAGAGGCAAGCAATCGACGTGCTCAAACCAGGTCTAGCAACCTCCACACTGGCAAGCAAGTCACAATGTTCCTTCGCAAAGAGAGCATCTGGATTTGGAGTAGGTGCCAACACACTTGGCTCAGTGTTCATGTCACTCATAGGCATCACCTGCTCGATGGTCGCAGACAAGGGAAGGGCAGCAACATCTAAAACTCCGCGCTCCATGACACCGAGAGGTAGGCTGGCTGACACCTGACACCCAATGGACTTAGACGAGTGAGAGATTGCAACATCCAAATCACCACGCTCATCGACATCAAGTATCTGGCTAAACTTCCGAGGTGATGCCGGCGGTAAAGCCACAATCGAGATCTCGGGAGGGTCTACCTTCGGTTATTCGACGGACAGGAGGCGGAACCGGATCCCCACATAGGTCCCGAAGCTCAGGCATCATCTGCAGCACCGGAGTTACAACTACATCATTGTCCATTCCCTCGAAGGCTGACGCGACGAGTTGGTTCTAGCACGAGGGGAGAAACGGCCATGAAGCTCAGCTCCCCTCTCGACCTCGAAGTTGTCTTCAGGCACAACACAGGCGGCGCCAAGGAGAGCCCACCTAGTGCAGCCTCAGCTCGCTCCATAAAGTTCTCCATCCGCAACATCCAACCTTGCATGGAGTCAAGGTTTTGTGTTTGGCAGGTTAACTTTCGTCAGGGTTAGTTTGGAGGGCACAAGACCCAAACTGAAGGCTTGCTGCACTGCAATTGGCTCCATCCATCCATATGATGCAGGAGACAGCTTTGATCGTGTAGCCTCATGGCTTTGATTCATCAAGTCCCAGACTCCCAGTTGATCTTCAAGGAGCATACATATGATGTGAGCGATCAATGAACTCCCAGGCATAAATAGGCCCGAGTCTGCATTATTATAGGACCATCAACAACGAATTGCACATCCAACAATACACAACCCATTCAGTCTCACACGCCCACACACCCAAAACAAAGTTCTCAGCTCTGGACAACCACCAAACTAACCCCAAATTATAGTACACCACCCAAACACACGCCACCGCGATCAGGACGTCGTCGACGGTCAGGCGCTGCTCCGGGTAACGGCTGCGAAGATGTCCGTGTACCCCACCACGCCGACGAGGACGTCGTCCTCCTCGGCCTCCGCGTCTGTCACCCACACGTGAGTCGCCCGGTGGGACAGCATCTGCGCCATGACGGCCGCGAGCGAGCTCGTGCTCCGGCACATCAGCGGCGAGCTCCGGCCCCGGTACATGCTCCGCACCTGGTTCGCCTGGCTGTTCAGGAACCCGATGTTCCTGCTGCTGAACTTCTTAAGCAGCCTGGGAGAGCGCCCGGGCTCGGCGGCCTCCTCCGACAGCGACGAGCTGATGGAAGGCAGCGGGAAGGCGGAGATGGGGGTCGACCCGTTCTCGTCGGCGCCGATGACAAACTGCCCCGCTGACAGGTTCGCCAGCGCCCACGCTGCCGCGACGTAGTCGCACTTCCACAGCTTGTAGGCAGAGATGTCCCCGATGATCTTGCGGACCCCGTCCGGCATCGTCTCGACCACGGCCACGCCGCACGGGTCCCCAGGGATCTTCTGGATCGCCTCCATGGCTGGCGCAGACGCCTCGACGTGGCAGTAGTGCGGGTTGATGGCTCCGAGGGTACAGATTGGAGACAGTGGGATGGGCGCCAGGGCGCCGAGGCACCCGATCAGGAATCGGAGGATGTCTTCCCTTGACAGGCAGCAAAACCTCTCCGCGCAACTGATAAATGGGGACAACTGCATGCTGCTGCTGCCAGCTGAGCTTGGGGATCCCGATTCTGAGTTCTTCATCCATTTCCTGTTGTAAAGCATAGAAAACCGCTTGGTGATGCCTGTCCAGGAGCCGTTCTTGCGGACAAGGAAGCGCTTCACTCCATTCCTCATCAACTCCAGCGCATCGATCAACCTTGCAAGACAATCAAACTTGGCTGAATAACAAAATACATATGTCAAACATCACATCTTTAAAAATGAACTTGCTTGAAAGGCAAAGGACTAAAAAAGCAGAGCAGTATGATTGGTAGACGCATCATCCAGCTCAGACTCTTATGTCCTATTGAACTTTTCATTTGCGGGCAACTATTATGTCATCCCTAAGAATGTGACATTGGCTCACTACTTGGTGCTGCCAAATCATTTCGGGACATGATTGGGCTGCCTTGCATGTGTCATGTATGGCTCAGTTTATTTAAACAATTGTCTTGACTCATGAATCCCTTGACAGCCAGCACGGCTTCCACATGGATTGCTGCCTTCCTGATTGCGACGTTACATTGCCAAATGGAACCATGTTCCCACTTTGTTCCTCTTATGACAACACAATCAGAAGGACAAACTCTGCACCACGTGAAAGCCATCTGGCTTGTTTAAGTTTGGGAATGAACTGGTGACACTTCATGATGCTGGAAGATAGCGTTAAATACGAGCTAGATTGTTGAATGATCAGTGTACTCTAGGAATTGAGAAAAATCAAGAATAGCCACATATACTGATATAGGTGAACACCTAGCAAATCTATGCTGTTGGTAACGGTCATGAGTTACAGTTTTTCAGTCTCGAGGAGCTATGTGATAGTCTTTTAAGTTGTTGTCAGCAAATGGTCCCTAAAGGGGCAACTAAAATGATGGTTTAATGAAGAAAGCATGACCAGTTGTGGCATTTCTTTGGATACTGAAGAAAAGAAACTGCGCAGACAGGGATAGAGTAACTTAAACTTGAGCAGTTGATTTGTGACTAAGGCACATGAAATTCAGAGATTCTTCAATGAAATTCAGCGACTCATAAGCATCAATCTTGAGCTCACACAAACCAGGTATGAATTAGGATCTGTTTCGAAGGCACTTAATTGAACTTTCCAGTTTTACCCAAGCATGTCGGGCTCCAACGATCACGCCTTACCAACTATGCTTTCTTCTGAAAGAGATTGTGATAAATACAACCACTACCCCAGTTTTAGTATCCAGTGAACACAACCTTAGGCAGCTTCACTGAGCAGTAAGCACTTCCTGATTTGCACCAACAGCAGCAGTCACCACAGAAGAGTAATTTAACCACAAAGGCACAAAAACAATTTTGTACTACCCGCAGATTTGTAATTAGTACGAACGTGCATAAAAGACAGAGGTTTGCGCATCAGCATTCAGCTGTAGTGAAGCATCCCAGCAGGCAGGGACAGATCCGAGCTGAGCACGAGTCAACAGGCACAGTGCGTAGACTGAATCACCACTGCCTACGACTATGAAACCGCAGACGAGTGATGCCTAAGGACTTGGAGATTAGGTGGGATTCCTGATGGGACGGGCGGGGACACGACGGCGGCGGCGAGAAGGGGCGGGTCAAGGACCAAGAACTGACCTGGTGCCGGGATCGACCTCCCGGAGCAGGTCCTGGTTGGGCTGCACGACCTCGCCGACGGCGGCGCGCATGGCGCGGTCGCCGGCGCCGGCGAGGAAGGCGGCGATGTCGACGGCGGAGATCATGCCGAGGAAGCGGGCCCCGGAGGGCGGCCCGCGCGCGCCAGACGGGCACGGCGCCCTCCGGGCTGCCGGCGATGGCCCGCGCCGCGTCGTCGAGCGTGTCGGCGTCGCTGAGCTCGGCGATCTCGGGCTTGCCGACGGTGAGGTCGCCGACGACGTGGTGGTAGAAGACGGCGGCCATGGCCTGGCGGCGGGGGGCGCAGGGTTATAAGAGCGAGTGGAGGAGGAGCAGGTGCAGGAGAAGCCTGGAGGGCCCCAGGCGGAGGCCGCCCCCGGGCACGAGGACGGCGGCAGGGGAGGAGTGGAAGGGGAAGTGGTCACCGGCGGCGCGGGTGCGGGGGTCGCCGGCCATGTCGGAGGGAGGGAAAGCCCAGAGCACGGGGAGCAGACGGAAAAATCTAACATATAAACGCTCCTAGGCTACCCGCGAACCTGAGGCCTCCGCGCGCGCCACGCTCGTTGGGCCGTGCGATCTTTTTACTGTGCTCTTTTTTGACTGCTGACAGTTGGTCAGCCGTCAGTTTTTTTTCACGTTCATGGCTGCTTTGAGACTGGATGACGAGTGGGCCTCGTTATGTGTGGGGTCAACAGAATAGCGTGGCTTTCATCCGATTCTGGGTAACAAAAGCATCAAACCCTAGATAGACGAGGGGTAAAAGGAAAAAAGCAGCGCAGCCGCCTCATCTCCTCGCTCGCTTCCTCCTCTCCTCCCACGCCGCCCCTCCCCTCTCCCCGCTCGTCTCCTCCTCTCCCATTCCCTCGATGCCGGCTCCCCTGCTTGCCTCTCCGACCCGGGCCAGAGCCTCACCGGCCGCTCCACCCTAGCCGGCGACCGCTAGCTGCTCTACCGGCGCATCCTCCCCGAGATCCGGCCACGAAGAGAGTCATGGTGGCAGCACACCATCGCCCCCTCGGCTGCAAGCGATCCAGCCACCCCGCCCCTGCCTACAAGATCAGCACCGCGGCTCCATACCTCGCCGCCTACAAGGACTATGAGGACGACGAGGTAAGTGCCCATCTCCCGACCCAGCTTCACTTCAGCAGCAACATGCATCTTACTGCTCGACGTGCTGCCAGATCCTGTCACCACCGTCCATGTGGATGATCTATTCCTACCAGCGCCCCTGATCTGCAACATTCTTTTCTTCCAGATTGAGAGGTTATGAATGTGCACAATATCTGTTTGTGTAAATGTCCGAGGGGAAATACTGCTCAGGGAAGATGCCGATGTGTGTGCATCTTTCTTTTGTTTGAAACGGTGGGCTTTTATTATGGATCTTTAAGACGGTGTGGTACTCAACTGCTATCGAGGAAAACTCCCAGTAAGCAGGCAAGTCTTCCCGCTTGTTCTTTGATTTTTCTGCTCAATCCATGCTTTAGTTTATGTTTATTGGTGTGCAATGTGCTCGGTCTACCTTTTTACCTATTTTGGTTGATAGTCGATCAAGAGGTAGTAGATACAGATGCAAAAAGAGAGGTGCAGATTTGAGAACTGGCTGACTACAAAAAATAACTCTATATGAAGATTAATTGTAAGGATATGATGCTTCAAGAAATAATGTGCATAATTAAGTCTGGTGCTTTTAACCAGACATGTCGATATGGCCATTGTTTCCTGTCGTGCTTCACTGGCGTCAATGACACCAACTTCAAGTTTGTCCATCTTGTGATAATGTTTTTGGATGCAGAGCATTTGTATAGGGCAGCTGATCTTCTCATTGGTTTCATTGGGGTTGTATGCAAGGTCTCAAAAGGTCTGTTGTTCCTGGACGGTGCGTGTGGTATAATCCTATCTCCTCCAACTTTTCTTTTGTTACCATGCTTTTGTCATTATTCACAGTAATTTCTACTTGCGCCTCTTGCCATGTGCTCCACCATTCCTCTCCTGTTCCAGGTCCGCAATGATTTGTTTATTTAAATCTTTGTTCTCCACTCACTGCCTTAGATAGCTGCAGATGAGGATGTATGAAGGATTTGGCCGTGAACTCAATGTGACCATTGGATTGAAGTTGAAGGTATACTTTGGCTGCTTTTCCTGTCGTTTATGTTCCTCTTTTCATGTGTGTTCAGGATTTTCTCCCTCTGTTTTTTGGCTTTAGAGCCTCAAATTTGACAAGCATATGTTACCGATTAGTGAGTAATGAATTGACAATATTTTGATCTATATTGACTCTCATTCTCTATTTTCAGGGGGCATTGCAAAGATATGAAGGAATGGCCTTTCGTTCAGAACCTGGTCAGCTACATAGCTTCTGGTCGTACATGTTTCTGTTGCAGCGGCCCAGTCATGCGGAGAAGAATGGCAGACGTTGAGGATTGTGTCAGCTGATTTTCTAATTCATGATTAGCTCATGGATTTTCTCATTTATCTCTCTAACTTCCATTTACAGAAGGACGTGCATTATCAGCTCTTATGTATTGTCTTAATAACCGTTGATAGGAATGGCAACTATGTTGAGATGTGGTACACCATTGAATGACTTTTGGTCCAGAATGAAAAATATAGGCATGATTATTGTAATTTTGTTGCTGCTAATTTCTTTCAAACGAACCATGGCTTCTAATCCACAAATCAACACTCCCAAGTCGATAGCAGAGGCATAGATGGTTCTGAGCCAATCTAATCTAAGGTAGCTTATTTTTACGGTTGTTTAGGTTTCATTGGGTTAAAATTATTTGCTAACATACTTTGATCTCAATAGTATTTATGACTGATCTGCATGGTTGTGTTGCTACAGAACCTGTATGTCCTCCTTGATCTAGATTTTCTATTATTGGAGGTGAGATCATACACTCTTTTCTTAAATGATTTACCTGCCTTCTTCCTACATGTTTTTGGTGACAGTTTGCTTGATACAATAGATGAATGTTATGTTTAGATATGTTGTGCTTGATGGATCGGTCTTCTTTCTTTGTTTATTCATGCTTTTTAGGAGAATATTTATGTACACCTGGTTGATTATTCATGCTTTTTAGGAGAATATTTGTGTACACCTGGTTGTAAGTGATATGTCTTTTTCTTTCCACCACGGCATGGACATTCTTCCCATTACATTTTGTCCTCTAGAATATCATTATGATTTTGCTGGCTTTTATCTCTGTCATTTTGAAAAATTGCAGCAACTGAACATCATCTTCACCCCATTATATTCAAATGTAACTGCTGTATAGTTGTCATGCCGCTAAGTGCTATGCTTATATGATATATCAACAATCTGGTAATTCTTTTGTTTATTTTCCCTTTTTGTTGGAATCCCTTATTTATTAGGTACTTGCCTCCCTTATTTTGTAATTCCATTTTAACCAGGACATCAACATGTTCACATAGCCACTTGCTGGAGAGAAAAAAATTGAGCTTTTGTGATATGATACGCTAATATATTTTTTGTTTGTGCTTTGTTCCAAAACTCATGTCGTGATTTAGTTTAGATGTATGCAGTTACAACCATATCTCTGATTTAGGCCGCGTTGGAATTTAATTTCCTCGCCTAAAAAGTGCAATTAGAAATTAATTTCATGCCAAATTAGCTATACGCATTGTACTCCGTGTAACCCATTTTAGTTTTATAGTAATCCTTTATTTCTTTCTTCAGTTCTATCAGAAAACATATTGAGGCATTGGAAGAAATTGACATGGTGTACAAGAAGGAGCTGGCTTTACAGTCTGGCATTAAGCACCGGGGAGGAATTCCTTCTTTAGGTGGTGAACTCACATTCATTTCAGATCATGTGGATGTTACCAAAATCTTGCCTTATGTTGCAGTTTCCAACCGCAGAGGCTCGGTAGGTGTCTACTACACCACAGGACATGCAAATGCATTCTCCTCTATTTCTGCATTCATGTTTTACATCTTACTTGATCATGTCGGCATCCAGTATTCTTATATAGTTATATGCATGTGGTTTCCTCAACCTGGAGTTAAATACAGGCTTGTCACTGAATGAGCTTATATCACTCTTTGTGTCATTGAATAAGCTTATATCACTCAAAAGTCAAAACATACTGGTGCAAACGAGCAAGGCTTTGTTTAATAGAAGCATCAAGACCAAATATTGAATTAGGGTCGGCATAACATAATATTAAAATTGTTCAGACATATGTAACCTACAGAAACATGCCCTCGATCGAACATAGTGGTGTATGTAACCTCCATTATTTATGTCATAATGCATGTTTCCACTCACCATGAGAATGTTAGTATTAAATAGACAATTTGGGATCCTTGCTGATAGTCAATGATGATAATTGGTAATGGCATCCGTTTTATGTAACCTCCATTATGTATTTTAGTATATTTGCTAAGTTACTTCTAAGTCCGTTTGACTCATCATATTTAGATACTGTGTCTGCACTTTTGGAAGTGATGGCGCAGCTGAAGCAGAATTCATGTGGTTTGATAAAGCTGCAAGGAGTATTGTTGGCAAGCCACTTATGGCCTTGATCTAGCACAAGTACCCCGGTTTTACAAGCGTGCATGATCTTGCCCAGATAGGAGGTGGCGATGTAACCATGCCTATTGAGATTTCCCGCGTTGTTGCCCAGAAGTATGTGCTTGTTGTTTCTATCTCGAACAAGAGCTTCTAGCCTACAAGCACCCAGATCTGAGCCAGTGAAGGCACTGCTGCCCGTGCGACGCATCATCGTTGTAATGGTGAATAGCATATGAAGCCTCCTAATTTGTAGCGGTGCAAGTTGTAGCCTTTTTGAAGTGGAGCAGCTTTGTCTGGTTGTGTTGGAAATATGCCCTAGAGGCAATAATAAAAGCATTATTATTATATTTCTTTGTTCATGATAATTGTCTTTATTCATGCTATAATTGTGTTATCCGGAAATCGTAATACATGTGTGAATAACAGACACCAACATGTCCCTAGTAAGCCTCTAGTTGACTAGCTCGTTGATCAATAGATAGTCATGGTTTCCTGGCTATGGACATTGGATGTCATTGATAACGGGATCACATCATTAGGATAATGATGTGATGGACAAGACCCAATCCTAAACATAGCACAAGATCGTATAGTTCGTTTGCTAGAGTTTTTGCAATGTCAAAGTATCTCTTCCTTCGACCATGAGATCGTATAACTCCTGGATGCCGTAGGAGTGCTTTGGGTGTATCAAACGTCACAACGTAACTGGGTGACTATAAAGGTGCACTACAGGTATCTCCAAAAGTATCTATTGTTTTATATGGATCGAGACTGGGATTTGTCACTCCGTATGACGGAGAGATATCACTGGGCCCACTCAGTAATGCATCATCATAATGAGCTCAAAGTGACCAAGTGTTTGGTCACGGGATCATGCATTACGGTACGAGTAAAGTGACTTGCCAGTAACAAGATTGAACGAGGTATTGGGATACCGACGATCGAATCTCGGGCAAGTAACATATCGATTGACAAAGGGAATTGCATACGGGGTTGATTGAATCCTCGACATCGTGGTTCATCCGATGAGATCATCGTGGAGCGTGTGGGAGCCAACATGGGTATCCAGATCCCGCTGTTGGTTATTGACCGGAGAGCGATCTCGGTCATGTCTACATGTCTCCCGAACCCGTAGGGTCTACACACTTAAGGTTCAGTTACGCTAGGGTTGTAGGGATATGTATATGCAGTAACCCGAATGTTGTTCGGAGTCACGGATGAGATCCCGGACGTCACGAGGAGTTCCGGAATGGTCCGGAGGTAAAGATTTATATATGGGAAGTCCTGTTTCGGGCATCGGGACAAGTTTCGGGGTTATCGGTATTGTACCGGGACCACCGGAGGGGTCCCGGGGGCCCACCGGGTGGGGCCACCCATCCCCGGGGGCCACATGGGCTGTAGGGGGTGCGCCTTGGCCTGCTTGGGCCAAGGGCACCAGCCCCACTAGGCCCATGCGCCTAGGGTTTCCAAAGGGGAGGAGTCCTACTAGTGGAAGGCACCTCCTAGGTGCCTTGGGGGGGAGGGAAACCCCCCTTGGCCGCCGCACCCCCTAGGAGATTGGATCTCCTAGGGCCGGCCACCCCCCTTGGCACCCCTATATATAGTGGGGGAGAGGAGGGACTTCATACCTTGAGTCCTTGGCCTTTGGTTGCCTCCTTCTCCCTCCCCAACACCTCCTCCACCTCCTTATAGCTTAGCGAAGCTCTGCCGGAGTACTGCAGCTCCATCAACACCACGCCGTCGTGCTGCTGCTGGTGCCATCTCCCTCAACCTCTCCTCCCTCCCTTGCTGGATCAAGAAGGAGGAGACGTGGCTGTTTCCGTACGTGTGTTGAACGCGGAGGTGCCGTCCGTTCGGTGCTAGGATCTCCGGTGATTCGAATCACGTCGTGTTCGACTACATCATCCCCGTTCTTTGAACGCTTCCGCTCGCGATCTACAAGGTATGTAGATGCATCTATTCACTCGTTGCTAGATGAACTCCTAGATGATCTTGGTGAAACGAGTAGGAAAATTTTATTTTCTGCAACGTTACCCAACAGTGGCATCATGAGCTAGGTCTATGCGTAGTTCTTCTTGCACGAGTAGAACACAATTGGTTGTGGGCGTAGATTTGTCAACTTTCTTGCCGCTACTAGTCTTATCTTGCTTCAGCGGTATTGTGGGATGAAGCGGCCCGGACCAACCTTACACGTACGCTTACGTGAGACCGGTTCCACCGACTAACATGCACAAGTTGCATAAGGTGGCTGGCGGGTGTCTGTCTCTCCTACTTTAGTTGAAGCGGATTCGATGAAAAGGGTCCTTATGAAGGGTAAATAGAAGTTGACAAATCACGTTGTGGTTTCACGTAGGTAAGAAAACGTTCTTGCTAGAACCCTACTTCAGCCACGTAAAACTTGCAAACAACAATTAGAGGACGTCTAACTTGTTTTTGCAGCAAGTGTTTTGTGATATGATATGGCCAAAGTTGTGATGACTGATGAATGATCTATATGTCATGTATGAGATGTTCATGCTATTGTAATAGGAATCACGACTTGCATGTCGATGAGTATGACAACCGGCAGGAGCCATAGGAGTTGTCTTTATTTTTTGTATGACCTGCGTGTCATTAAAGAACGCCATGTAAACTACTTTACTTTATTACTAAACGCGTTAGTCATAGAAGTAGAAGTAGTCGTTGGCGTGACAACTTCATGAAGACACGATGATGGAGATCATGATGATGGAGATCATGGTGTCATGCCGGTGACAAGATGATCATGGAGCCCCGAAGATGAAGATCGAAGGAGCTATATGATATTGGCCATATCATGTCACTACTTTATATAATTGCATGTGATGTTTATTATGTTTTATGCATCTTGTTTACTTAGAACGACGGTAGTAAATAAGATGATCCCTTACAAAATTTCAAGAAGTGTTCTCCCCTAACTGTGCACCGTTGCTACAGTTCGTCATTTCGAAGCACCACGTGATGATCGGGTGTGATAGATTCTTACGTTCACATACAACGGGTGTAAGACAGTTTTACACAGCGAAAACACTTAGGGTTAACTTGACGAGCCTAGCATGTACAGACATGGCCTCGGAACACGGAGACCGAAAGGTCGAACACGAGTCGTATGGAAGATACGATCTACATGAGAATGTTCACCGACGATGACTAGTCCGTCTCACGTGATGATCGGACACGGCCTAGTCGACTCGGATCGTGTAACACTTAGATGACCAAAGGGATGTCAAATCTGAGTGGGAGTTCATTATAATTTGATTAGATGAACTTAATTATCATGAACTTAGTCTAAATTTTACAATATGTCTTGTAGATCAAATGGCCAACGTAGTCCTCAACTTCAACGCGTTCCTAGAGAAAACCAAGCTGAAAGACGATGGCAGCAACTATACGGACTGGGTCCGGAACCTGAGGATCATCCTCATAGCTGCCAAGAAAGATTATGTCCTACAAGCACCGCTTGGTGACGCACCCGTTCTCCCTGCAGAACAAGATGTTATGAACGCTTGGCAGGCACGTTTCGATGACTACTCCCTGGTTCAGTGCGGCATGCTTTACAGCCTAGAGTCGGGACTCCAAAAGCGTTTTGAGAGACATGGAGCATATGAGATGTTCGAAGAGCTGAAAATGGTTTTCCAAGCTCATGCCCGGGTCGAGAGATATGAAGTCTCCGACAAATTCTTCAGCTGTAAGATGGAGGAAAACAGTTCTGTCAGTGAGCACATACTCACTATGTCTGGGTTACATAACCGCTTGACTCAGCTGGGAGTTAATCTCCCGGATGATGCGGTCATTGACAGAATCCTCCAGTCGCTTCCACCGAGCTACAAGAGCTTTGTGATGAACTTCAATATGCAGGGGATGGAAAAGACCATTCCTGAAGTATTTGCTATGCTGAAATCAGCAGAGGTAGAAGTCAGAAAGGAACATCAAGTGTTGATGGTCAATAAAACCACTAAGTTCAAGAAGGGCAAGGGTAAAAAGAACTTCAAGAAGGACGGCAAGGTAGTTGCCGCGCCCAGCAAGCAAGCTGCCGGGAAGAAGCCAAAGAATGGACCCAAGCCCGAGACTGAGTGTTTTTATTGCAAGGAAAGTGGTCACTGGAAGCGGAACTGCCCTAAGTACTTAGCGGACAAGAAGGCCGGCAAAAACAAAGGTATATTTGATATACATGTAATTGATGTGTACCTTACCAGTAATCGTAGTAACTCCTGGGTATTTGATACCGGTGCCGTTGCTCATATTTGTAACACACAACAGGAGCTGCGGAATAAACGGAGACTGGTGAAGGACGAGGTGACGATGCGCGTCGGGAATGGTTCCAAGGTCGATGTGATCGCCGTCGGCACGCTACCTCTACATTTACCTACGGGATTAGTTTTGAACCTCAATAATTGTTATTTTGTGCCAAGTTTGAGCATGAACATTGTATCAGGATCTCGTTTAATTCGAGATGGCTACTCATTTAAATCCGAGAATAATGGTTGTTCTATTTATATGAGAGATATGTTTTATGGTCATGCTCGGATGGTGAATGGTTTATTCTTTATGAATCTCGAGCGTAATGCTACACATATTCATAGTGTAAGTACCAAAAGATGTAAGATT